AGTAGGCAGAAAGTGCTGCAGAGTCATTTTGAACTTTTACTGTCCTGATTTATGTCTGCAAAGCTGCCCAGGCTTTACTAGGCTAACCAAAGTCATGATGTCTTTTTGACATGGTTTCTGGCACCTCAATAGGGATCCAAGTTCTTGGAGTTATAGTCAATATTCACAATATTCACAGCTTGGCTGTGGAGTGTATTGAGGGGACCCAACTGGATCATAGAGCTTGGCTTTCCGCTTCTGCAGGTTTTCCTTGACATTTCAAACTACTTCCTCTCCAAACTGGGGTATTGTTACCTGATGGTCAGAATACCTAATTTTGTCTCTTTTCCAGCAAGGACAAAAGCTGGCGACAGGAGCATCACTAACTTGCTGTAGCATGTTTTCAGGTTACAGATGAGGCAATTCAGCCAGCTGAATACTCAGTAGCTTTGGTGTCACTCTTGTGTCCTGTGCTGAAGAATTCTCAAAACATGCTTCTTGGGGAAGTAAAACTACGGGACTAGCATTTCTCTTCAAATGAATGATACTTTGACTTCTCTTTTGAAATGCTAGAACTTCTGTTAGAAGTCTTTCCTGCCTTCCCTTCTCTTTATCTTGGAGGAAAGCAGAGCTGTGCTTCCTATTCCATAGGGGTTTTGCCATGTTCAGGCTGGCTGCTCACTTTAAGGTGTGGTCTAAGTTGGCCACCAACAGCCTGGAAAGAAACTGCTTGTTTCTCAACGTTTGCCTCTTTGAAGCAGCTGACTTGCCAAAGAGCTCTTAAGTGTGCTGGCTGTAGCAGTGGGGTTTTATCTACTCTGTCCTTCGCCTGAAGGTGTGAAGTCCTATTCGTGTTGAATGGAAATGATACTTGTGGATCAAAAGAAGCAGCTGGTAAGTACAGCAAAGAGAACTGCTCCTGTTACAGTGGGCTGTTGAATTCTAAGGAATTGAGAGTATCCGGAAGAACTGGAAGTAATCTTGGAGGTGAAGTTCACCTTCCTTTTGAGTTAGTTTTACTTTTGTTTACTTTTACTACCTCTTCCTCAGAGGGTGTCTAGGCTAAAAGCCATACAATTAGCATTTCAGTGTAGCTCAGTGACAGTTCATGCCATCTCGATGGGCTACTAAGGGATATGGATATTAAATCTTGTGTGTGAAGACTGGAGATTAACAGCACACCTCCTATTTTGAAAGTATAGAATGTGTATAAACTGTAAAGCAACAGAAAAGCATCATCTTGCACTTGAAGTTTGATACAAGAAACTTGGAAGTTTCTGCTATCACTGTAAGAATTAGAAAGAAACTTTGTCACTTAGAAGTTTGGTGCTAAGGCTGCACTCCAAAGCTTCAAATCTGACCTAGGAACCACTGTGGTGGCACCTCTCGTGCATCTTTGAGCTGTTCCTCAGCCCCTGGTCTTTAGCAGTAGTGAATTGTACAGAACAGTCTAAAATTCAATTTTAGTATTTGCTGGATGGCTGCAAGGTTATTTATTTCAGCTTCAAATTACAGTTACGGGGCTCTGTAGAAGAAGTTGAGGTAAATGACTACTTTCTGTAGTAGAAAGGTAGCTAGAGGCAACTAGACTTGAGTTTCTTCACAAGCTTTAGAATCTCGTTTATGGGGCAGTGGCTGGGAGTATCCTGCAGGATTTTGCCTGGCTCAGGAGTGCCAGCTGAGGCTGTAGTTGGAATTTGTTTTCCATTATTGTTTTTCCTGTTCTAGAGAGGTAAAATTCCAGTTCTGGGATGTGAGGAGGAGGAGGGAGCTGCTTTGAATAACACATTTGAGCTGCAGAAAACACTGATAGATGTGACTGAGTGAGAACTTTCCAAGAAGACTTAAACAAGTGCTTCAGGTGGCCTTGATAGATAAAAGGAACTGCTGGAAACTTGCCTGTGACGGCAAAATGGAGGAGTATTGACTAATAGAGGAGAACTTGAACTTGGGGGTGGTTTTTGGTGTCCTAATTGTGTTTTCCCTGCAAGTAACTGAGAAATGCAGTGGTGTCCAAACTGCTTAGAGGCTGTCCATTTAAGGACTTGTCTTCTGAACCAGCCTGGGCTGGATTTTGCTCCTTAAACATGGCTTTTGCCTTTATCTGAATGCTGAATCTTTATATTGGTTTTTAAAGCAGTTTACACTGGTGGGGAACCTTGCTCTTAGAGTAAAACTGGTGTCAGCTGCATCCTCCTCCAGCTGGTGAACTGCTGTTCAGTTTCAGATATTTCACAGGAAGAATGCAGAAGTTAAACATTGAGACAGTGGTGAGGAGAAATTCCAGGCAAACTGTTTGGTGCTTTCATGTACTTAAGGTATTAGAAGATGGAGCAGCATGATTTGTAATCATGCTTTGTTGTAGCTGCTGTGGCAGCTGTAATGTTCAAATATCTCTGGATTCAGGGGAAAAAGGGGCCTCTGAAGATAAAGGGGTTTACGTTAATGAATAGTCTTGATTGTGCAGAGGCTGATGTTTGACTTCAGGCTTCTTACTCAGTTTAATCTTACTTTGCCAACTTGCCATGTACCAGAGGAAAAGGAACTTCATGTTTTCCTCTTGAAGGAGCAGTTAAAAAGGAAGGAACTTTGAATCAGATGTAAAACTTCTCCTGTTCGCATTCCTTTGAGGCAGTGAGTAGTCAGCTTTCATCCCTCGTGTGTATCCTGACTGGCAGATTCATCTTGGCATAAAAACTTTCCACAGTGTATCTGCAGCAGGTCTAACTCGCCTATTAAGCCTTTGTCTTCTACCATAGATTAAGCTAACTGCTTCTGTTGGGTTCTTCATAGGGGTAACTGCTGGCACTATTCAATCCTGTCACAACAGGCTGTAGTCTCAAGTTGGTGATTTGGAATGAGTCTGGGAGTTGTTACTAGTTCTTACCATAATGGCAGTGACATACTGCCATTCTGTTACAGCTGTTGTCATTCTATTTTGCTCTTTATAACAGGTCTTATAATGCTGTTCTGTAATGTTTTAATGTGTGAAGACCCTTGAAAAGAGCTGCAAGATGAGTGAAGAGTATTTCTTGGTGTATAAATTCAGAGACCCCCATCTTGTCCCTCTTGAAATGAAAAGCAGCATCAACGCTCATGCCTGAGCCCAGCTCCTGCACTTGGCTTTGCCTGAGTTTTTCCTGTTCTGCAGTGTCAACAGGGTTGCTATGAAAACAGGCATAAACAACAGCACACTGAGTGCCAGCTGCTGCCACCACAGTCACAGTTCTTCACCCTTGGGTGTCCAGTGAGGTGCTTGGGAATCCTGAACACTGAGTGAAGCAGAGAAGACTGGGTCTAAGATCCAAGTTACATTTCTCGTTAAGTGCTCAGACAGTCTGTTGCTTGGGTGTTTTTATTCTTGCTGGGATCTGTTTAGGATCTCCTTGCATCCTTTAATTGCAGAACTTTAACAGCAAAAAATCATGGTCCAGCTGGAAGGTAGATGTGGGATTATAGAAGTCTCATATTCAAGTTTGTATCCCTTGTACTTTAAATTCCCAGGCTTCGTCTCAGGTTGGAAGGGTGGATGGTGGCTTCTGTGCTGAAGATGATTGGAGAGAGAGGAACTGTTTTGAGGGAGGAGTGGCTGAAAAAGCCACACTAAATTTGTTTGACATTGGAGTACTTTAAAAATAACTAAATACAAATTCCTGTTCAGATACACACTCTCCATTTAAGAGCTAAATGTTAGGATGCTAATTCTGGTTCCTTCTTGAGGTCATGTGCTGTTCTTACTGCTTCTGGAGTGGCTTCCTTTAAGACACATTCATGAATGTTCCTGGTAATCTGGAATGCTGAATGGCTTGGGGGGAGGGAAACATTCTGTAACGTGATGTAAGCTGTAGGGCTGCAGGAGGATTATCTTGATGGGGGATCAGGTAAACCACCAAACATACCAGGTAATGATTCTACTTCTCTTAGGTTAAGAATAATGAAGTAGGAGGGAGCATCTGAAGTATTTAAACTTAAGGAGACTTGTTCAAAACAAAGCTTGACGTGCATATTTTTAGACCAGTGTACTTTAAACTTGTCTTCAAGAACACTTTAAAAAAAGCCTCCAATTTAAATGTTTAACTTCCTTGTTCTTTGCTTTCTAGTCCTAGAAGTCTTGTGTAACTGCTTTACAGCTTAGGGGAGTTAGGGTGCCGTGACTGCAGTCTGTGCAACCTGCCCCATCCTGACCACTGCATCCGTGCCTGTGGCTGGTGGGGCTCCTGCTCCCTGAAGTGCATACTTCCATTCCCCAATAAGGGCAGAAGTAGTGCTTTATGCTGCCTGGGACAGGCACGCCTCTGATGCTTCCCTAGCATTCTAAGGATGTTTTCCAAGTTAGCCTTCTAGATATCTGGCAAGTGTCTGGGGTCTTTTAGGGAAGCCAAATCTCTTTAACACGCTGTCTTGCATGTAAACCTGGGAGTAAAGTATACATCCTGAACTGTAGGTTAATATATTGAAGTTGTGGTTCTTGTTTGTCAGAGTTTAACTGCTCTTCAGGCTGTAAAAGAGCTTCAGTCTCCCAAGTACTAATCTAATGTGCTCTTCAAGGCTTTAGGCTTAACACTGCCTGTTCTAGAGTAAAGCTTGATTAGTCAGTAAATATTGTAGCTGATGGCCTGACACTTCAAGAGAAAGCTTAACAACTCCCAGGAAAGAATCATTTGGAGTTAGAAGCTGGGTTTTGAGTTTCACCCTGAGGAATAAGGCAGAAGTTGTGTTACTGAAAGAGAACAACAGGAAGCTGGTAAGACAAGAGCTAAAGGGGTCTCCTTTCTCCCCCACCCCTGAGCATTTTGTAAGGTTTTAAAGTGGTTACAAAAAAACAGGAGAAATTCTCTAGTATGCTGTTTGTTTGGCTGTTGAAAGCTGCCTTGCTCCAAGCAAAGCAGAGACAAGCTTTTACCCTCTACGGTGGGTTTCCTTCCCTTTGCCAGTAGGTTGGGAAACCTCAAGATCTGTTGCTGTAATGTAGCCCTGGCTTCGGGGAGGAGAATTTGTTGTAACAGTGTATGTCTTCCTCTGCAGGTAACCTGCAGCCATGAGCAGCAATGAGTGCTTCAAGTGTGGGCGCACCGGCCACTGGGCTCGGGAGTGCCCCACTGGAATTGGCCGTGGTCGTGGGATGAGGAGCCGTGGCAGAGGTGAGTATTGCTTGCTGGGGGTTTCAGTGTGTGTGTGTAGTAAGATCTCCAGCTGCCTGTTGTGTATAGCGTGTAAATCCAGCTCGCTTAGTCTGCAGTGAGGCAGTTAGGACACAAATGGGTAATATATTTTGCTGGTTCTTTCCTCTGCATAAGAATTTTGCCAGAGGCATTGGAGAGTGGAGCTGACTTGTCAGTTCAGCTGGCAGTGTCCTTGGTTAACTCTGAGGAGTATTCTGAACTTAAGGATTAAGCCTTTCTTTTTCTCCTGTTGCCCATTTCAAGCAGGCTTCCAGTTCATGTCCTCCTCTCTGCCGGACATCTGCTACCGCTGTGGTGAGTCTGGCCACCTTGCCAAGGACTGTGATCTTCAGGAGGATGGTAAGTATCACTAAATATTCTATCTCCTCAATCACATGGACAGAGACCTGTGGTTGAAGAGAAGGGTTCAGTACACTGATGGTAATTTACTGGGAACAAGCTGTATGTGTCCTTCCTCGGAGGCATGCTACAGCTCACTCTACCAAGGTTTTATAGTCTTGTTTGGTGTGCTTTTCTTATTGTGGAAGCCTGCTATAACTGCGGTAGAGGTGGCCACATTGCGAAGGACTGCAAGGAGCCCAAGAGGGAGAGAGAGCAGTGCTGCTACAACTGTGGCAAACCTGGCCACCTGGCTCGTGACTGTGACCACGCAGATGAGCAGAAGTGCTATTCCTGTGGAGAGTTTGGACACATTCAAAAAGACTGCACCAAAGTGAAATGCTATAGGTAAGGACTGGGAAGGGGCAACTGCACAATCTGCCTGAAGGGACAGATGTGCTCTCTATCTAGTTTTGATTAGGAAATGAAGCTTAAACTTTGACCAGGGCTTGTTTCTTGAAATGGTTGTTTAAGACTTAAATGTCTGTTAGCAAAGTCAAGTAGGGGACTTGATGCACATCTCTAGATGGCCAGAACCATGCAGGCTTGTACCAGCAACAGCACGTTCCTGAGTGCAGTATTCTTACCCCCACCAAGGTTCCCTTCTGTGGAGGAAGGAGGGAGAACATGGTGTATTTGAGTTAAAACTGATTGCTCTCAAAACAAGGCTAAATTACAGAGAGAAGCATTGGAGCAGGCAAACCCCAGCACACACACACTCACCCACCTGTACTTGAGGTGCAGTGGCTTTGGCATACATGGTGATAAACGGGAGCTGATCAGTTGGGGAACAGTTCCTGGCTGTGGTGAGGACACAAACTTGCCTCACGTCAAAGACTTCTGGAACACTGAAACCGAAGTCTTGAATGCAGAACTAGCATTGCATGACACTTAAGCAGATAATGTACTTGTCAGGATAGGGTTGCTTTTGTGAGTACCTGTTGTGGATGGTTCTGATAAAACCACTTGCTCTTCGCAGGTGTGGTGAAACTGGCCATGTAGCCATCAACTGCAGCAAGACCAGCGAAGTCAACTGCTACCGCTGCGGCGAGTCAGGGCACCTTGCACGGGAATGCACAATTGAAGCTACAGCCTAATTATCTTCCTTTGTCGCCCCTCCTTTTTCTGATTGATGGTTGTATTATTTTTCTCTGAATCCTCTTCACTGGCCAAAGGTTGGCAGATAGAGGCTACTCCCAGGCCAGTGAGCTTTACTTGCCGTGTAAAAGGAGGAAAGGGGTGGAAAAATCAACTTTCTGCATTTAACTACAAAAATGTTTATGTTTAGTTTGGTAGAGGTGTTATGTATAATGCTTTGTTAAAGAACCCCCTTTCCGTGCCACTGGTGATAGGGATTGATGAGTGGGAAGAGATGAGTCAGACCAGCAAAAACCCTCTCTGGGTTACATGGAAGTGATCCTATGCAGGAGGAAAGAAATTCTGGAAGTGTCTAAACTTCCTCATAACTTTAATTTTATTACAATGGCCTTGGATTGTCTGACCTCAGTAGCTGTTAACACCAAGTAATACCTGTATCGGGCCCTACCTAGAGCATATAGCTGAGTGGGAGTAAACAAACAAGATGCACATGCCTGTTAATGGCCATGAGAGAGAGAGAGAGAGAAATCAGGAATAAACTTAAAAGTAACAGTAATTCAGTTAATGAATGTTCATGTTGGAGTTACAGAACGCTATAGGGAGTTTTTGAATAAATACTTCAAAGTCAATCTGGAACCCAGACATCAGTGCTCATAGCATACACAATTTGGAGCTATTCAGGAGTTGCAAATAAATGCATTTTCACAGAAATCAAGATGTTATTTTTGTATACTATATCACTTAGACAACTGAGTTTCATTTGCTTGTAATCAGTTTTTAAAGTAAGATGGTAAAAGCAATTGAAGTCCTAGAACATAGAAAATGTAATTTTAAACTATCAATAAAGCTGGAGGAGGAAGGGGAGTTTGGCTAAAGTTCCTTTTGTTTATTTTTGGTTTCATGTACACAGTGCAAAATAACATATTAAAAAGGGGTATGTGGAGGTGTAAAAAGCTTAGTTTGGACTTTTCTTTTGTATTGTCTTCAGTTCCCATGGGGTAGCGTCCTGCCGTGGCTGTGTTTGTGTGCAGCCTCCTGCCAGGCTGCTGCCGCAGTCCGTGTGCAGAGCTTGCGTGAGGTCCCAGTGTGGAGGAGGTTAATGGGCTGTTAGTGCTGTAGCCTCCTCAGGCCTCGTTACACTGAGAACTGATGTGTCAGACAACCGGCATTCCAGGCGCTGCCCCGTTCCGGGCCTCATCCTGCTGTGTTGCTTGACTGCGGGTTAGTCAGCAGGTCGGGAGTACGCAGGTGAGAGGCTGTGTCCGCTCCCTGATCAGGTGCGCGTGCAGCCTTGACTCGCAAGGAAGAGGGCAGATGTTCGGGGCTGTGCTGTGTGTGGGGTGGCAGAGGGTGTGTGAAGGCAGTTGGCAGCAGCTCTGGAGCTCCAGCAGGTTGGGGGGGCTCTGTCCAGTCCCTGTAAGGGCTGTGTGCTGTGGTCCCCTTTTGCATCGTCACACACCAACAGTTTTCTGTACTTACAAACCCCAAAACGTTCCAATTGCACAGGCTGCGTGTGCTGGAGGGGTGCAAATGGGCTGCGGGGATGGTGTGCGGGTCTCCCTTGCAGGGCTGAGGTGCAC